TGGAGGGAATGCTTGATGCATGACAGCTGCTGCTGCTGCCAATGCAGGGGGAATCCCTACTCATGACACTCAGTGGCAAGTCATGGTTACCACTGTTGTTATGAACTAGTCAGTAATAAGAGCAACAGTTATAATATGAATCCATTAGTAACTGTTTGACACAAGGGCATAACACCCTATGTGTGTCATTCTTTTGATGTTTTCTCATCTTCTTAGGGTTTGACGTGTAACACATTTAGTGGTTTCTGAATATTATTATTCTCTGCCCAAAATATTATGTTTGCCTAATCCAAGAGATAGGGAGAAAGATTAGGTGGCAGATTAGATGGAGAATAGCTATTTCAGCAATGATGAATTAAAGCTGTTGTGAGAATACTTGTCCCACATAATGCTGCAGGTCTTGCTACCTATTTTTCAACTTGGCCCTGACTGATAAAGATCAAGGCCCTGAGGTGTCTTGGAAATTTCCTGATTACAATGAGCCAGCATGGAGAATCCCCAGACAGCACCTTCAAAGCTGGAAGATCTGTTTGGATCTTGGGTCCACAACCCTTTAGTGATATTGGTACCTATCTCAATCAACTGCCATGAGACTAAGAAATGACATATTTAAAGACTCTCATAGAATCCCTATGATAATAGGCACTTTATATATTTTTATTCTATTAATACTACCCCTATCACCATGCCACATTCAAATGACTAGAGATTATAGTCTTCATTCTGTGATAGACAAACAGCCCCTTTGTTAGGCGACATTCGGAGCACCATAGTAAGAGGATTCTATTATGCTCAGCAAAGACCAAGGAGATGAGAGCAGCCACAGCTGAGCATTATTATGGATTTCTAATATGAGAATGTTAAGTTGGACGCTTTGAGGAGATTACATTTTATAAAGAAGTCATAGGATTTAAAACAGCAATTAATATCATTGACTATTAATTGTATGCCACATCTTATTCCAAGTTCATTAGATGCAGTAAATTTTTAATCCCCCCTCCACACACTCATTTTTGGAAGCCTGATATTATCCCCATTTTACAGATAAGGAAAGGATCATGGGAAAGTTTAATGACTTGCCCAAGTCTCATATTTGAGAACAGGGATTCAAATCCGGGCCATCCAGAGACTGTGTCCATGTTCTACCTCAGTGAAAAATAACCACTCTCCTTATCTAATAAGACTGTCAGGGTAAAAAGAAGTTAACCATGTTCTCTTACTTGAAGGAGGTCAAAATTGGGAAAACAGCAACAACTTTAGGGAGAGATATTTCACCTGTAAGGGCAGTGATTTAGATGGCCTTTCACGTTAAAAATGTCCGAAGTTCCTCCAAATCTCTCTAATGTGTGCTTGAATGTTTGAAACCCATCTGATAACGTTTTGAAGGGATTCTAGCATCATGAAAAGGTTGATACCAAATAAGTTTTAGGGTTTCTTACAAACATTAGGTTCACCTGTGCCTAGGACACTCTGGTTGCTTAATGAGAAGCTGATTAAAGGATAACTGAATGAATTCAATAATTCCATGAACACATCAAAGGCTCACCTGATTTGCACAGGGCAACAATGACCTTTTCTTCTTCAAAGCTACAAATGCTTAGTGATTTTAGATGAGTCAATTAACAATAAAGGTTATTCTCATATGGTAATTTGTATTTGACTGTTTTCTTTACTAAAATTTAATTTAAAAATCTTTTCTTGCAAGAGATAATGCCTTACCAGTACAAAGCAAAGCTCATATTAGGAACCTCTTATTCTGGTATTAAATAATAGTCAGGAGAATTATGATGCAGTTCAATGAGAATATTCCAGATGCAACTATGAGTTCCCAGTCAGAAATTCATCTGAACTGCTCATTTTTCATTCATTCATTTATTAAACATTGATTATTTTGCTTAAATTAGTGATGACAATGTGCCAAGTCCTGTGCAAGAAGACAGAATGTCTATCTTTAAGCAGAAAAGTGCGGGTAATTCCATGGACCCCAAAAGAATTTAGCTTTTAGGGCAATGAAAGGTGCAAGAGAACTCGAAGGAGGAAGTTATGAGGCCAAGCATGTAGGAGGCATTTGATGATTCATTAAGCACAATTCATCAGGCTCTACATCACTTTGACCAGTGGTTCTCCAAATGTGGTCCCCAGAACAAGTGCTCCAGCATCATCTGGGAGCTGGTTAGAGATGCACAAATCTCAGGTCCAACTCTATGCCTGACTTTGGAGCAGGAACTCTGGAGCAGGAACAAAGCTCTCTGTCATTAAACAGTTCCTCCAAATCTCTCTAATGCATGCTTAAGGTGTTCACCTGGTGATACCAGGAACAGAAATAAAATTAAGGCAAAAGGCAAAGAAGTCAACCACACACACACACACAATAAGATTGTAGGTTAACAGTGGTAGAATATTATTTCTCGGAAATTGTAAAGCTTCTCTTTCTGTAGATCATTCATGACATTCTCTAGTTGTGGGAAGGGCAAATGGCCCAAAGGATTAGCACCTGGCACTACACACACACACACACACACACACACACACACACACACACACACTCACCAAGAGATTAAGAGACTGGCAATCTGCTAAAAATCCTTTCTGGTGATGGAAACCAGAAGTATCTCCCTATTCCCATTCTCATAGGGGTTGGTGGCTATCTGTGGCTGATTTTCTTGGGACATTCAAAAGCGGAAATCCAGGCCTGCCTAATAAGTCTCCAAGGACCGCCCTAAAATTTGGACTGTGAGTCTCTGGGCAAACCAGGAAATAAAAAGTGAAAAGAAAAAGGATTTTTATTTTTCCTAACTTGTCAATTGCAAACAGAATTTTGTTTAATAAACCATGAAATGATTAACAGAGGTCTGTGTATTATTCCAAAGTACAGCTGGGTATATAAGATAATCTGTTCTCTTGTTTTTTAGGCCATGTTATCCCCACAAATGCTGATTTGGATTTATTTGTTGGTAAGACCTCTACTGTGACTCAGTGTATTGGGAATCCCATTGTTTATCAAGTGGACCCTGTAAACAAGAACCTGCTCTAGTGAGTAGGCTGGTAGTGCTCTCAGGCACTTCCCCTAACCTGCACAGCTCCTGGTATGACACGAGTCATCACCTGTACCAATGGATAGCGACAGCAGTCTCCAAAGTAGTCCTTCAACATTTCATCATTAGTTGTTACCAATCTTCTTTATACACTGAGGCAGGGTGAATATTTTTTTTTTAAAAATCCATATTCGAGTATGGTTACTGCTTGCTTGCAAAAATATCTTCAAAGACTTCCCGATGTAATTAAAATGAAATGAACACTTCTTGCACATGGCTCTTCTTAGCTCTCAGTTCTGACTCTCTCCTTGTGACTCATTGTACACCAACCACAATATTCTCCCACCTGATTCTCAATTCATGGCAGTTGTAGTGTTCTTTCCCACCAGGGTCCTTGTACTGGCTATGGCCACTGCTATAGATTCTGTCCCTTCTCTTCACCCAGCTGCATTCCATTCCTGCTTAAGGAACTCTATTCCTAAACTCTATCTAACATCACACATTGGTTGAGGCCTTCTCCTACATATATCCCCCATATCCCCCAGATGTGACTATAATCATTATCAAAATTTCAAGAACATGATAGTCTACTCAACCATACGAAAGGCTCTTTCTCCAGGGGACATAAGCATCACCGGAGCAAAGACAATGACTGTTTCACTCACTACTGCATTCTCAGCACCAGGCTTGGTGTGCAGAGTGGTGTATGTTTCAGGCTGCATCTGTGAGATGACCCAATGAATAAACTAAAATATTTATAAGGATTTCAAATTCCTGAAGCAATTTAAATAAAAGGAGAAAGAGGTGGTGGACCTGGCAGAAAACTGTCCTCATCACAGGAAACCACTTTGGAAAAGGTGAAATTCAGGAAAATTTGGAGGGTGGTAGAATGTTGTAACTTGGAGCCCTTAAAAGAAGTCACACCTTAGGAGTACACACATAAGGCTCTGTCCTGCCGAAGCCCATGAGTTCATCCTTCTGAAGGATGAAAAGGAGCACTCCAGTGACATGACAAAGGTTTCTTCCTACAGTGAACACATTGTTGAAAACTCTTTATGAATCCTTAACTTCTGAGAGTTTGAGAGACAACAAGATCTGTTTTACAATGAGCATTTTAATTCCCATAATATTGTGCTTTTATTTTCCCCATAGAGAGTCTCAAGCATGGAGACTCTGTTGACCAGGGCAGCTCTGTGAGCTAGACGGGCAATGGAGACAGCCTAGGAAGCAGCCTGGAGTAGGTCATTCTCAGATTCTATTAAAAAGTATCAGCTCTTTTATCAATTAGTGTAGACTTTGCTGGGGGGAGAAATATATAATGTCACCTGCTTTCAAAGAATTAGTACTGTTTCCATCTTAAAAACTTTGAAAACAACTTCTCTCAATAGGGACAGACACTGTCATGAATGCAGAGAGAGAGGGAGTCAGGGGAAGGGAGAGAAGTGGGAGAGACGGAGGAGAGAGACAGGGGGGAAGAGAGAGGAGGACAGAGAATTCATACGGAGAGGACCCCATACTGCACAGCAAGGCCAAGACAGCTTCTGCTCTGCACATGCCACCCATAAGGTGCTAAAATAACATGCTTTAAAACCAGTTCAACCTTCAGACATTTCAGAATCACCCGAAGGATACCAGGGAGATACCCCTTTTATATTTTCTCTCTTATGGTTTACACCTATATGTCTCCCCAAAGCCTCACATGCTCACAGGTGGGGCTTGTGAAGGTGACTGACTCGTGGGTGTTTGATACTCATGTGAATTAGTCCACTGATAAGTTCACAGCTGCCTGTGGTATTGGGAGGTGAAGCCTGGTGGGAAGAGCTGGGTTCGTGTGGGTGTGGCCTGGAGGGGTGTGGATAAAGGAATGCTCAGCTTGTAACACTCAGCTGACCTGAATCAGTGTGGCTCCGGCTGTGGAAGGCCTACCTGAGGAGCCTTGCCAACACTATAAAAGGAGAACGGAAAGGGTAGTTACTGCACTGTTGATTCTCCCGGAGAAGCTTGTTGTGCTGGCTTTCCAGATAGGAAGTCAGTTCACATTGCCAGGAGAGCTCGGGTCCTCACGGTTGCTACGGAAGGCTGTGGTTCTTTCCAGGGGAGCTCAGGCCCTTCCCTTCATCATCACTTCCTGGTTCCAGTGCAGGTCCTTAGCCTCACACATCCTTCACCATACGGGTAGAGACTTTCAGGATTCCTGGCTTCCACCACTGACTTCTGGGCCTTCCCAGTGCAGATCCTGGACACGGACTTGCCCGGCACATTGTAGTGGACTCTAGGCCTCCTGTTGGAATTGTGGAAGATACTGCCATGGGCTCGAGGTCCTCAGCTGGATTCTTTGGGTCTCTAATGAGTAGGCAGATCTCTTGCACTTGTCTGCATTTGACTTTTTGGGGTTAATATTATAAAATATTCCTATAAATTACATATCCTGTATTAAATCTATTTCCTTGGAAACCCTGACCACAACAAAGGATATAAATCCCTTAGGTTCCATTGTTCCCTGTTTCCTGCCTGCCACACCACCCTGCTGGCTACAGACTAAAACTACTACAAATGGTGAGTCAAACCTCTCCTCCTTTAACTCTGGATGGTGGGCAGCAAATAACTAAGACACTATCCTACGAAATGTTTTTTTTTTTTCTAACCTCATATAACCATTAGGAGATATTCCTTGGAGTGAAGTGTGTTACCTTTTCTACATAGTCTCTGAAAACAGCAAATGTTTGCAGTTATAGAAAATCAAGAATAAAAGTATAAAACAGGTGCTCTAAATTCCTATTAGAAAGCCTAGCATACAGCAGTTACTTAAATATTAGCTGTTTTTGTACTAACTGGAGGACTAGGACTATCTTTCCAACTTTGGCTGCCCCTTTGAATTAAGAAAAGCTTTTCTAAAACACAAATACCCCTCCCCATGCTTCTAATTTGGTTGATTGGGAGAGAAGCCCAGCAGTTTTTAGTTGCAGCCTGATAGGCAGAAGACAGGAAGACCGGTCACTGCCATGCAACCACGCGGCTAGTTAGAAGAGCCAGCTTGGCCAGGGTTTGTCTTCAGCTTTCATCGAGAAAGGAAAGGAAGAGAGGTTGTCTCCCAGCCAAGGCCTGAGATGGAAAAAGGACCTGCTCACCAGGATTACTCAAGAGCTACATCTTTGCCCTCTACACTGCCATAGCTTCCCTGTTTAGCATCAAAAGAGAATAAAGTAGTAAAAAGTATATAAATTATAAAGGAGATCGTTTGTCAAGATAGATGGCTAAAATAATCCTTAATAGTTTTTCACAGGAAAACAGAATAGCATCCATGAAAGGGAAATCTTCTTTGCTGTTTTATTCACCTTCATCTAATTTTTAAATATGTAGTAAACATGATTGTGGGGCTTCTCATTAACTGGGCTGTCTTACAGTCATAATTTTTGATACACAACATTACTTACCAATTAGCCTGTCTTGTTCGTTTAAATTTCTTTGCTCATATTTTAATGGGAGCTAATGATGCCTTTGTTGACTTATTTAATGTTATGTAAATGTGGCTATAAACTGTGAAGGGTTTAAGCAGAAGCACTATTTTTGCTTACTCTTCAGATTTTGGAGTGTGTAGAGTCCCAGGAAACATACTTATCAACACAATGAATGAATGTAAGCAACTGAGGAGGCCAAATGATAATAATTTTTAAACAGGCAGTGAAAGATGTTTAGCGAAAGTTTTTTTTTATTATTGTTCTGGATGAATCGCTTATTTGGATACGAAAGAAATTTCAAAGTTAACTTCTCCAAGCTTGTTTTTCCCTTTCTGGTTTTCCATTTCGCTAAGTATAGGTACAGGCCAATCTAACATCAGCTTCTAAATTCCAATAGGGACAGCTGGCTTTAACAGTGACTCTGCTGCTCGGTTTTGTGAGCCTGGTCCCCAATAGAGTCCTCATCTACTGAGAACATAATAAGTGGCACATAAATATTTGAATGAATGAGAACTTTATCACTTCAACATGCACACAGATGACTCTTCCAAAGCAATGAATTCTCAATACTGTGTTCTCCGTTTCTCCAGTGACACTGTCTACCAACCACCGAAGCTCGGCCATTCTTACTTTCGTCATATGTTAAACATAATTGGCAGTGACTAAGCACAGCCTTATTTCAATTTCCTTCAATTCTGCTCCTCTCTCCTCTCATCTAATTCTCCAGCTTCCTTCCCAAGTACCACATCTTTCTACCATACCACAGTTCCACTTCCCTGATTCTAAAATGTTTTCTAACTCTTGCAACCTCAGGTCCTCTCTTCTTTCCCTTATTATTATGAACCATAATAATCAGATAATCATAATTAAGATACATCCCTGAATCCTTAGCCTTGGTTAAACCACCAATTTGGATTAAAATCCATTTCTTTTTTACTCTATACTCTCACCATTCAGCTCGAAGTTAGTGGAGAAAATGTCCCCCAGCCTGAATGAACTTACTTTGCCCTTATGACAGTGTGTTAGGCAGCTACTTTTGCTGCCAAATAAGCACATTCATCTTCTAGCCTGATCCTTTCCCCTTAACCATTGATTAACAGTTCATGTGATCCTCACTGTGTTTTCTTTATTCCTTCCCCCTCTCCCTGGATGGAAACAGAAAAATCTGTATGTTTTTCCCATTTTCTCCTGAACAATTCTTAAAGAAGATATTGAATCTTGACCCTTACTCCCCCACCAGTTCTGCCTCCTTTCACATCACTCCCATAGGCAGCACAGCTCCTGGAAGAAATTGCTTCTATTCATTTCATTCATTTCTTTCTTCCACTCCTGTGAGGCTCTCTTCCCTAAGAACACAAGGAAATTTCTGTTTTTCAGGTCACCAGTGGTTTCCATGCTAAACAGGCCAACGTCTAATATTTAAATTCCTGGATTTCCTGGCAAAATCTGACAGTGGATCGAACGTTTCCTTCTGCATATCTGGGAACAACTAGATGTTGTTTCTCTCCAACCTCCTTGCTGACTCTTCCTCTTCTCCTGATTTCTTCACCCACGGGTCCCCTAGGCCACAGTCTTTCTTTCCATCTTATCTTTAAGGACACTTACAATTCTAGCCCGGCACCCAGTGTCGTGTTCTCACATCAGCCTCCAGTAGGAGACTTTGGATTTATCATCTCCATTTGTATTCCTGATCAGTTCTTGATTTCTCTCTGTAAGTTTACTCTCAGCTTTCTCCACATCAGCTGCTAGCTACCACATCCTTTCTTTTGCTCACGCCCTCTACCCAGTGTCGTATTCCATATTCCATCCCAGTCAACAGGAAATCTTGTTGGCTTCACCCTCACAACAGATCCAGAATCTGAATTTTACAACCAGCCACATGCCAAGCACTCGAGTTTGAATTTGCTGTCATCTGTTGCTGGAATTGTTCATATAGCCTATGTTTATTCTTACTACAGAAGACAATATAATGCTCTTAAAACCTATTGAGCTATGTTATGTGTTTTGGAACCCAGCAGTTGGTTCTTCAATTACTGCAGAGAAGCAATCGTGACACAGTGGCCTACAAGGATTTCCAGCCAGTCCCTCCCTCTCCCTCCAGCGTCCCCTACCGCACCCCCTGCTCATTGTCCTCCAGCCACACGCCTCTCAATTGTTATTCCTCACCATGCCTGGCCCCCCACCTCTGGGGATGGTACCTTCTATGAAAAGCCCTTTCCCCAATGTCTTTATCACTAATTCCCTACTTCTTTCAAAACTTAAGTTTTCTTCTCCCAATGAGATCTGTTCATCGCTTTCTTGGGTATGTCAACGTGGCCCCCACACACCTGTACACCCTTGGCATGTTCCCACAGTATATATCACCCTCTCTTACCTGATGTACTGGTTTTCCACAACTGCCATGACAAAACAGACCAGATAGCTTACATGACAGAAATTGTTTTCTCAGCTCTGGAGGCTAGAGCTCTAAGATCAAGGCAGCAGCCAACAGCTTGGTTTCACCTGAAGGGCTCCCTCCTTGGCTTATGGATGGACAGCTTCTCACTGTGTACTCACAAGGTTTTTTTCTTTATACTGGCAAACTTGCTGTTTTTCCCTATATCCAAATTTCCTTTTATTATCAGGAAAGCAGTTTGTCCTAAAGCCCTCCAAAATAACCCCATTAACTTAATCACCTCAAGGTGCTATCTCCAAATAAAATCATATTTTAAAATAATTGGTGTTTAGGAATTCAATTTATGACTTTGGGAGAGAATACAGGTTAACCCATAATACTAGATAACTCTTTTATTAAAACCATTGCTCTGTCTCCATCCTCTAGCCCAGAACTCACAGAAAAAGTTTAGAACCGAGAGAATCTCATCCGTCTTGCTTTTGCTGTGGCCTCTGTAAGGACAGTGCCTGATACAAGGTGAGATACTAATATTGCAGGAATTAAAGGGTAGGTGCATGTCTCCATTTTAAGAATTAAAAGCAATAAAGACAGTATGGGCCACTAGGATATAGGAAATCTAGGTTGTGTTTCTAACTATAGGTTTTAAACAAATAGCTTGTTCTTGCTGAGTCTACCCTCCCCGTGAGCTCTAATGAGGGTGTTTGTCTACCTATCATGACAAGTGATTTTAAGGTTTAAATGTAAAAATGTGTGTAAAGGCCTTTGAGCCTGGCATTCTTGTTCAAATGTTGAGCCTCCTATATTTACCTTGTGGTTAACAACATTAATAGTCATAATAACACCTGTCATCTACCAATCTTTACCAGGCAGCAAGTACTGGATCAAGTGCTTTATATGAAATTCCTTGTTTAATCCTCACAGAAACCTTCCAGATATCTATAACTGCTCTATTTTTCTACACAGGAAAGCTAGAGGCTGGTCATTTTTTGAGCATTAAAAAACTATATATTTGCTCTATACTGTATTGCAGAAATTAACCTTAAAATTCAAAGTCGCATATGTTTGTGGTGTGCATTTGTGCTATGCATATGTCTAGGTTAGTACTTGAAGTTTATCCTTCCAGCAACTAACTCAGTAAAAATCAAAGATCTGTGAAATGGGTCTATAGCTGGTGACACTGTACTCTACAAGACCTGGACTGATGAGTTCATTTCAGAAATGGTAAACTATTTCCTTTTTATAGAACTTGTTGGATGATAGCCACTGAACCCAGCCAACTTAAAAGGAGAATGTTTATCACTGCCCTCTGGATAAATATAATCTACTGACTTCCTGACAACATCTTATGTCTAAATGCCTCATTCTTTTTCTAGCATTGTAGCAATTGCTAAAAGTCTACCAAAAGGATTATTACTAAATCTTGTCAGAGAACTAGAGTAATTTGCGTATAGTACAGTTAAAATTACTCTATTACACTAGAAGCTAATATTAGCCTAATGAGTTGAAATGGAGGACGGTTGCTCAGAAAAGATTGTAAGTGATTTAGCAGTGGTTTCTCACTTCCAATGATAATGTTCTTTGGGACTGTGTTTTGAACACATTATTATAAATTTAAATATTTTAATATTGATTTATTCTAATTTTCTTTTTGATCAGTACTGTCTCTGTGCTTGCATTTCATTAAGTCTGACTAGTGATACCACTCTATTTAATATCTTCCTTGGCCAAATTTCTTGTAAATTGGGAGGTGGATTTTAGCTGCTTAAGAAAGTTTCAGCAATTTCTTTGTGTGGTTCGACATTTAAAACTTAAGATTCTAATCTAAAAACCTTTAACAAGGAATTATTCAGCCTAGAGCTAATATAAATGTACTGGAGTACAGTCGTCTGTAACTATAGTCAGTATTGCGCTGAATCACAATTTAAATCACTTTCTCAGAATGTTTTGAATTAAAGTAGAAATATTTAGCTTTTTCTTGTGTGTCAATTTAGAATTTATTCCAGGAAGTCCATAATTTCTGTATACAGGAAAATTCAGCTCTAGAAAGAAACATATAATTAGGTGTGCTGTGTTGTTTGAGTGCTATAGATCTGTTTGCTCTAAAATACCCTCTCATTAGCTCCCACAGTATCTGAATTCCCATCATATTTGCCATGTATTGAAAGCAAATTGCTTCTAGTAGGTCCCTGTGAAATGCAGCTGTTAGCTGGAAGAGATAATGTACCCCGTTAGGTATATTAGCAGATATCAGTTATGGGCGAAATGAGATGCATGAAAGGCAAGGTTTAATGGTGAAAGGCAGTGAAGAAAATCTCAGACTCAGACGGCTTTCAGAGAAGTATGGGACCGCATGAACGGCTCCAAAGGCAAAGAAAGTGACTGGCAGGATCCCTAGGCATGAGGTGTGATTAGCAGAATTTGGGGGCATGAGAACCAAGGAGGAAGAAATTGATGTCTCATCTTGACTGTGTCATAATTTTACAAAGGGACAGCCTTCCTCACACACCCATACTGCTCAAGCATTTGTTCCATTTTCCTCAATTTTCTTTTGTCTTTATTTCTCAACAGTCAAATCTTCACTCATATCAGCTTTACAGCAACCCTCCTCCACCATCTAGTCAAAACTGGCAGCCTCCAATGGTGTTTTAAAATGGGCTATCTTAACAAAACACCACAGGCTATGTAAATTACACAGTAACAATTTATTTTATCACCTATTTAGGGAATGGAAATCTGATATAATCAGGTTCTGGGATGTGCCCTCTTCTTTTCCTGCAAGTGGCAATCATTGTGTCCTCTTTTGTGTGTATACGTGTAGAGTCTTGGAGACTGAACATGCTCTTGGTGCCTCTTCTGTTAAGGTTACTAGTCCCATCATAGGAATCTCAACCTAAGGATCTCGTTTAAATCTAATTACTTCTCACAGGCTGCCATCTCCAAATACCACCATATTAGTAGTTAATATTCAACATGAAAGTTTTCAAGTGAAACAATTCCGTTCTTAGTACCATAGTTTATCTTTCTATTCTCCTTCAGTTTTTTCACAGTTCTCTCTTAATCTAAGAATATCTTGTTTTGTTGATTTGTCTGACACTTTCTCTAAACAAAATATAAATAATACCTACAATGAAATCTGCCTACTTCACTGGTGTGAGTCCTTCAGCAAAACTTACCCTCGAGAATACACTTAATAGATGAAATGTTTGTACACAAATTTAGTTATTTTCAGTCTATCTCATGAAACTAAACTGAAGATTATAGAAATTGACATTGTAATTCTTCTACTTTTGGCTTGGTTCTGTGTAAAGCCTATTACAAGTGCCTGGTTAACACAGTAATGTTTATTCTGCATCCCTTTACTCAACATCCACTTAGCTCCTATTGCATGCCAAGCAATGTGCCAGATTTACAGAGTTAGACAAAAATAACAGCAAACAGATACATAAAGAACTATCAGAGAGAAAGGAACTTGCTCTAGGAATGGCGTGCCAAAAAACCCAGTTCTCTCCAGTTACACAAATTTGCATGCCAGGCAGAGGGAACAGCATGCGTTATAGCCTTCAAAGGAACGAGCCCACGTTTGGAGGCTGCCCAGCAATATTGTGTAACAGAGTGACCCGTGCATAGGCAGGGAGAGACGAGGAGAAGAAGGCAATGAGAGTCAAAAGAGACAGTGGGTCAAAAGCCCTACCTGGTGTGTTTTGCTGAGAATCTTGGACATTATTTCCTTGCCAGCAGGAGTTAATAGAAATTTGAGAGCCAGAAAAGGAGCATGATCTGCCTTATTCAGCTTGTTAAGGCTACTGTGCTCCCTGTTTCTGTTCGTCCATCTCCCATGTGCTGGCTGTTAGTGTGGGAACCTCTGGAATGACAGGATGGTAGTGACTTTTTCCAAATTATAACCACTGCTGGAAAGGACAATATCTAATTCAGGATCACATTTAAGTCCATAGCATGTCAATAATGCAAAAACATGTGCTCAAAGGCAGACAGCAGTAGATGGATGATGGATGCTTTCCATGATTTGTAACATTCGCTCCTTTGGATTTAGAAGAGGATCTGAGAACACACTAGTATCTCAGCCACCCCACACAGATGTGCACATGCACCAATCATCTCTCTCTTCACATTCCAAGACTACCACCAGAAAGCCACATGACTCTAGGCCGTCCTCTGGGAATTATATTTTCATCTCTGGGGTCAGTAGGAAAAATCTGTATCCTAGGGTGAGGTAGTGAGCGTTAATATGCCCATGATTGGAGAGTGGTTACCACAAAGCCTGTACAAGATAAATGCTCAATAGTGACTATTCTTTCCCCTACTTTATTCTTTCTTTCCTTTCCTTTTCTCTTTCTTTTATTTAAAAAAAAATGGTAACTAACAGTGCTGGGTTATTGAGCTTTTTTGATGATGTGAACATTTCTCATCTTTTTTTTCAAAAACTAAGTTTTCTGTGAATATTAAAGAAATTATACATAGTGTATTCTTAATTTATGGTAGGTGTTTGATAACTTGAGTCCCTTTATCCTGGTGAGTTTTTCAGGGATATTAATATACATTTAAAACAGCTGTGTTTTCTTAAAACAAAGGCTATAGACGCCAACAAAAGTAGCAAAAGAGATCAAGATTCATCAATCAAAAGCTCCAAGAAACTTGACCTCTCCCTTTTTGATTCCAAAACTACAAAATTTTAATAAAAATAGTAAAATATTATACTCTTCTGCTGTTTGGATATGTTTCTAGTGGATCTTTGGATATAAAGTAAAGTAGACATAGATAGAAAATGGGCTAGCCATTGATGAGAGCTAAATCCTGAAATACTTTATTTTTTATTTTAAAGAGAATAAAGCAAATCGGAACAGAACAATGCAAGCAACACAGCACTTCACAACCAGACATTAACAGAACAATGTCTACCATAATGTCTCTTTTCTTTGAAATAGTTGAGCGTACCTTCACACAATAATAGCAAACATAACAAAATAGTGTAAAACCATTCAAAAGAATGAAAGTATTACAGGACTTCAAAATCGAGTAACAGGGAATGAACAGTGGCTAATATTATACCTCATTTTCCTCAAAAAATGTGTCTATTCCATCACACATAATAAACTCAAAACACAACAGGATAGAACCAATCAAAACAGAAGAACAAAAGCCTGGTAGGACTTCAAAACAAGATGATAGTAAATCAGCAATGACTACCATAATATCTTGTTTTCTTCAAAATAGCTGTTCATACCATCATACATAATAAAATCAAACAGAATAAAACCAATCAAATGAATGAAAGCATTATAAGACTTCAATGTAATAGGAAACCATGATTACCATAATATATCCTGTTATATTCAAAATAGCCCCTACCATCTGACAGCATAAAATCTAACAGAACAAAGCCAAACCCAACAACATTGTGTAAACAATGCAAGAGTTCAAGATAAGACAATAAGAAACTGACAGTAGTTTCCACTTTTCCCTCCCAGGTATTTCCTCCCCTTTGCTCTTACATTAGC